ATTACATCCAAATTGACCATTATTTGAATTACAATTATAACATAATCCAACTTCAATTAATAACACAATCAATGTGTTGAATAAGAGCATTCTTCTTTTACTTTTGATGAAAAGAATTAAACTTCCTGTTCATTAAATTCTCAAAAAACCCTTTGTGAATTTTCATCTAGAAATATCAATTCTTTTACTTTTTTATATTTTTCATTTTCTTCTTTACTGTTCTTTTATTTCTTTATATTATTTTTTAATTCTTGAGAATTTTCTTTATTGAATTTTCTTTGTTATTTTATTAATATAAATGAAGCAAGTAAAATCTAATTTAAAAAACTATTGAAATATTTTATAGTTGAAAAACTTTTTGTTTATTTGATTTTTCTATTTCTTCTTTTTAGATATTTTAATTGATCAAAAATAAGGTTTGTCATAGAGTTGATTATTTAAAAAATTTTGTGTTTCTTTATTCATAACATTTTATTAACATAATGTAATACTTGTGTTATTAAAACGATTAAGTTTGTTTATGACATTAAACAATAAATGAAAATGTTATATTAGTCTTTTTCTTAAACTTTTTTAGTAGTTTAAAAAAAAAAATATTAATTAATAATTTCTATCTAAAAAACAATAATTTTAAGTTCTACAACTTTAATTTGAATAATTTTTTTTTGTCTTGTTTTATTATTTTCGTAAATTACTAACTAATATTTATTAAAATTATTCTTTAATTTTTATAATTGTCTACAGATTATAGTATTTATTAACCTAATTTTCTAATTCATATATTAATATATTTATATTTAAAAGATACTTATTATTGAAAAGAAATGCCAAAATCGATTATTATAAAAAAAAAAGAGTTGTTTTAAATTTTATAAATTTCTGTTTTAAAAAATAAAAAGAAAAGCGATTTCATTCATCACATTCATCTTTGTATTGTTTTTCAGTTCATTAGCTATTTAAGTCTTGGTAAGATCTTTTTTTCATTTAAATGTTTTCTGCCTGGGGACAAGCTACTGGTGCTGATCAAGATCCTGTCATGAAAGACTTAAATAACTCTCAAGATCAAATGTTTGGTCATATGATGGCTGCTGGTGCTGCTGCAGACTCTGGAAATGAACAAGAAGCTAATAGACAAGCTGCTGCAGCTATGGGAACAATGTTTGGAGCTCAAATGCATATGTTCCAACAAGCACAACAAAACCAATAAGTTAAATTGATTTTCTATTTTTTTGGAATTTATAAAAAATCTTTTTTTTTGCATAAACGTTCAATAAAAATGTTCTTATATAAAATAGAATTTTTCCCATTTTTAATTTATTTTATTTGGTTGTATTATAAATTTTCTTTATAGAAATAGTTTATCTTCTTATTTTTAGTGTGTTTTAATTTTAAACACTTAATCTTTATCTTGCATTTCTTCATTCTTTATTCTGTTTTTTGTTTTTTGTTTTTCTTAACAAAATAATGGTTGTGAGTTTTATTTAAAGTCATAGAAGTGCTTGTAATATCAAATAAATTAATTACTTGTAAGTATTAAGTTATGAATCAGTCTAATTATTTTAAAGCAATTATAATGAAAAAAATATTATATGGAAATATAAAAAAAAATCAAATCCATATTAAAAAAGTATTAACATAACTTTTTTACATGAGTACATAAGATATGACACAGTGAATATATCAAAGTTAAAGTATAAATGGATAAAAACATTAATTGATGAATCTCATATTATACTGGTTATTCTTCTATTTGTTTGATTTCTTTTTTTTCTACAAACAGAATATTTTAATTCATTTTCAGACATAATTTGAGCAATTTCTTTTTCTTTTTGTTCATATTTCTTTTCTCTAATTCATTTCATATTTTTTCTTTTATAAACTCTCTTGTTATGTCTTTGTTTATTTCATTCTTTTATTGGGATTTTGTTTTTTTAGCAATTTATTGATTTTATAATCAATAAAAAATATTAAACTCTTTCTTATTAAAAACCTTTTAATATATTTTTTTGGACATTTTATATTTCTTTAGAGGGTTATGTAAGTACTT